AACTAGGATAGATAAATAAACTGTGATACATCCATACAATGGAGTATTGTTCATGCCAAAAGAAGTGAACCATCAAGCCACAAAAGACATGGAGGACCATTAGATGCATATTGTTAAGTGGTAGAAGTCAGCTTGTAAAGGCTAAAAACCATATTTCCAACTATAGACATTCTGAAAGACAAAACTATGGACATAATAAAAGATCAGTAGTTGCCAGGGGAACAGGGGGAGAGAGGGAGGGATGATTGGGGGAGCACAGATGATGTTAAGGGCAGGAAAACTATTCTGTTTGATACTGTGATACTATAGTGGTAGATACATGTCATACATTTGCCAAAACTCATAGAATGTACAACACAAAGAGCAAAGTAAGACAGCGGGGGAGGCTGGGGATGTGGAAGAAGCGGGTATAGGAACTCTGTTTTTCCTACTCAAATTTGCTATGAACCTGAAAGCCTCTTAATTTTCATAAAATGGTAAGTATGATAAATTTTGTTATGTATATTTACCACAATAAAAAATAACATTAAGAAACTAAGAAAAAAAAAGAAAAAGAAATAACCAGGAAGGTAATTTGGAGAACTAATTGCCAAGAATTCTATATCCCATCCTTACTTAGATTTTGTAATGTAGACAATTACTTTCCAATCTGTAAAATTATTAAAACTACCCAAGGAACTTTACAAAATACATTCCGGGTCCCTAGGCCTTGTCCCAGAACTGCTGAATCACAACTTTGAGGGACTGGGAAGCTAGAAATCCATATTCATAAAACACTTCTCTGAGTGAATCTCATGACCACCAGATTTGGGAACTATTTTTCAAACAATATTGAGAGGAGTAACTGCATTGGAGTTCTGTTTGGGAACCACATTGGAATAGAGAAAAAGATAGACGCAGAAAGGCCAGTTAGAAAACAATTTTAATGATTCAGATGAATGAGTAGTAGATATCAAGGTGAACTTACTCCCCAAACTCCCATTGCAAGAGCAGTATTTGCCTCCATAATATTTAGGGCGTTGAGAAGTGGAGGAGAATGTGCTTCCTCTGGGAGCTCACTTGCAAGAAGAGAAGAAAACGAGACTGGGCTCTCATTACCCAATTAATTCTTTAAAATTCATCAACCGTAGGTGGAGATATATATAGATGGAGGACTATTTCTACTTATATATCTATACGTGGGAAAGCCTTAGGGTGTATGAAACATGTGCCCCAATGTTGCCCACAACAACAATAATGGGGAAAAAATCAAACATTTATTATTTTGCAAGTAGAGATAATAGGAAATTTTGGCTACTTTTTGATTTTTGGGATCAAGGGATATTAGAAGAACAGAAGATGACCTTAAGACTTGTAGCCTAAGAATATGGTGCCAAAAATAGAGACAGGGAAGACAGAAAGATTGGGTTTAAAGGGAGAAAAGTGGGTTTGTTTTAGGATATATTGGAATATAAAGTGTTAGTGGGACATTCAAGAGGGAATGTTTGACACGAGCTAAAATTATGGGTCCGGATGTGACAAAAAAGTGATATCATTTCGTACTCACCCACTCAAAGCGATAGCTGCTGTGGCAGAAAGGAGATCACTCAGACTGAGAAGGTGGACTGAGCAGGAAAGAGGGCAGAGAACACGCACTCGTGCGTTGTGCACCTCTCATTCTTTGTGTCATTCTCATCAGTCCTCCCCAGCTTTTGTCAAATCGCTGCTTGATGTTGCAGTGCGCCACTAGTGTGGCTCGGGGAGAAAAAAAAATAAACAGAGTGGCTGAGGAGTGCTCTGGGCCTGGGAGTACAAGACCTCACCAGGCTCAGAGCATCAGTCATCTCCAGGAGGGTTTTCTGGCAGTCCCCTGCTGCTTGAGGCCAGGCTGGAACAGTGGTTTAGAATCCAGTGCTTCTCAAACTTTCACATTTATGTGCTAGAGTAGAAGAGCTTATTAAGACACAGATTTCTCAGCCTCACCTGGAGATTCTGTTCAGTAAGTACGGGATAGGGCCTGATGGTTTGCACTTCTAGCTCCCGGGTGATACTGATATTGCCAGTAGATGGACAACACTT